GCAACCAGAGGTCGCCTGGGTAGGCTTGTTCTCAATTCTGAGGCATCGCTTCCACCAGTGTCGATACTCTTGTGAAGAATTTGACTGCGTGCCGGCAGCTGGTGCGACGGCATGTCCAGAGAAAGAAAATGCGTTATCGCTGCTATCCTGTTCAGTCATCTGTAAGGCCCGCGGCTACCCGCTCGTAGGCTCCGTAGGAGTCCTACGGCTGATAACCTGTGAATCGGAGGTTATCTCCCCGATTATGTGCTGTTGTTTGATCCTGGGGTTGATGTTCTCGACAACGACGACACGGGAATTGCAGTTTCAGCATGGCGGCGTTTTTCTCTTGGCACCTGCAGTAATCTTGAGCCAAAGGAGCAAATTGATGCATCCCTTGGCGGTGGACAATTAAGAGTTGAATTATATGGGAGTGTGCAGTGATCCGTAGCCTACACTCCATTCGCAGTATGTATGTATGTATGTATGTATGTATGTGTGTGTGTCTGTATGTATGTATGTATGTATGTATGTATGTATGTATGTATGTATGTATGTATGTATGTATGTATGTATGTATGTATGTATGTATGTATGTATGTATGTATGTATGTATGTATGTATGTATGTATGTATGTATGTATGTATGTATGTATGTATGTATGTATGTATGTATGTATGTATGTATGTATGTATGTATGTATGTATGTATGTATGTATGTCTGTGTGTATGTATGTGCGTATGTCTGTGTGTATGTATGTATGTATGTAGATAGATATGATGTATATAGATAGTATAGATAGTATAGTATAGATAGATAGATAGATAGATATATAGATAGAGAGATAGATAGATAGATAAATAGATATATAGATATATATATATATAGATAGATGGATAGATAGATAGATAGAGAGATAGAAGGATATAGATAGATAGATAGACAAATAAACAAATAGATGGATAGATAGATAGACAGATAGAAGCATCGATCGATAAATAGATAGATCGATAGCTAAATAGATCGATAAAAAGATAGATAGATAGATAGATAGATCGATAGGTAGATAGATAGATACATAGAAGGATGGATAGATAAATAGATACATAGATAGACAACTAAATAGATAGATACATGGATAGATAGATGGATAAGGAGGTAAGTACATAGTCAGAGAAAAAGAAAGAAAGAGATGCGGACCAGGGGGGAATCGAATGGGGGGGGGGCCCCCCCCCCCTAAGTCTCCGTTCGTGACTCTCGGCTCTCAATTTCCGGGAAAGGAGCACCCACCTCCCCCAGTACTAAACTAGTACTAAAGTACATAGAACTCAGGTAGCCTAGGCTACCTTTCGTGATGAGGTATCATAATTTACGATATCTATAGTCTTATCTTTGAGGGCAATGTCCTCCTGGTGTTGAATTATGTCGAATCTCCACTATTTTTGTTTACCCGTCCAGTCTGCAGGTGCCAAAACTTGGACAGTTTTCCACAGCTTCGTCATCGGAAAGTCACCCAGATATACCCAGATCAATTTACTCAACTCCACCATGAGGGGAAAGATGGGAAAGCTCGGCTCTGGGCACTTCAGAGCACAATCTGCGGGTTTCCTGCTATGAAAAGTGCTACTGCGGCCGAGGGCAAATCTTGACATGCATCTCCCTTAGTCGTGAGTGTTTATTGTCCGTTATGGGTCGCATTTTGGTACTGAGGTACTGAAGCAAGTTTGGTCAGTCAAAATGGCCAGCCATTCTGCGGATCTCGAAGCGCCAGCATCAGCGTCAGTTATCTAAGGCAAGTTGACCTTTGGCCAGATTTGCACCCCTGTACCTCTCTATATAGCATGTCTCAAAATGATGTATAACACAAGATTGCAATGCTTTTCTTGGGGGAGATGATTATAAACCAGTGGATGGAATGGGTTAAGTGCCGCCTTTCGCTGCGAATTGCTGCGATCTGTTTTATACACAGCAAAGCAGGGTGTTCCAGGAGGATGGGAGTTTGCAATGGCTCAAAATCATGTACCAAAATATGGATGGTCAAATACTATAACATACTACTCAGAGTATAACCAGCTGATAAGCCCATAACTATCTATATCTATAGCATATATAGCATTCTATAAGAAACTTTATTGGTTCATTGACATCCCACGGGTTTCCCCATCGCGCCATTTCGAAACCCATCAACCCATCGCCTCCAAAGCAGTGGCATCTCGAGAGACCAGAGCAAGGTCTCGGAGAGCTTGATGGCTTTGTCGGTCCCATCCATTGATATCCAAAAATGGGCGCAAAACTTGGGATGTTTACAGTAAAAATTCATCAAAGCAACAGTCCAATCCTCAACGCAGGAAATTCATGGAAATTCCCTAGCTAGCTATCCTTATGATTTCCACATGTGACTCATGGGGTATGAAAGATTGTTGCCCCAAATGGTGATGTCACCAGCGACCAAGGTTGCCCGGCGCGCATCGGGGCGAGCACGGCACAGGGCGAGGGCCAACTCACGCCTACCAAGGTTAGAGCACCAATTCATGGGATTTCCATGGGATTTCCATGGGATCTTGGGTGGATGTCTGTTTTTTTCTCAGGATTGCATTGGATTTTTCTTGGGTGATTTCTCCATTGATTTCCTGTCTTTTCTTCGAGATTTCACAGGATTTCTTGCATCCTGGGCACCCATAGCCACGTGAGGCTCCGGTAATGAGGGCCACTGTTGGCAACGGAGCCTGTGTCGGAAGTTTGGGACGCAAGAGTATCCCAACCGCAGCTGGTTGGTGGTGCCCCTTAAACAAAATGCTCATGTAGAATCATCAATCTCCCAGTTCTTTGGTTGTTCAAGATGAACATATTTGAACCCACCAACTGGGAACTAAACGAAGTCACAAGATGCAATTGATTGCAGTTGTGATTGTAGCATACTCTAGCCACAAGCCACAAAACTACGGATTGAAGTATGTCATGAAGTAGGATAGGAAAGAGAATGTCAGAGGCCAAAGTGTGCTGCAAAGGTCCATAGAAACAACCGTGGATAAGTCTGGACTTCTTAGAAACATGGAGAAACCATCAAATTTGGGCTGCCCTGGCCTAACTATGCCTAACTGGATACTTAAATTGACGCATTCAGTATCACCAACCAGTCAGAAATCTGGGTGTTCTCGAACCGGCAACATGCCTGCATAACTCTGGCTGTCTCAGCTTTCAGACGGAAGTGCGTGGCCTCGGTGGATGTCCCGAGGCCGCTGGTGAAAAGTCACTGCAGACATGGCTATGAAATAGCGGATATATAGTGGATATAAGTTCAGATAATGTCTGCAGCAGTGACTTTTTTGATGTTCTATTCATTTCTATTCAGCTATTTTTTGAACATCAAAAATGCGGATATAAGTTCAGATCATTGTAAGCCCCAATAGATGGGACACATTTTCGGCATCCTGACTAAAGGTACTCAAAGAAAGCAGGAAAAGAAGTTGCGCTTCATAAACACAACACTTCTTAGAGATGTACAGTACAGTATCTTAAACATCCTGAGGGAGACCTAATTTGTGGAAGCGTTGATGCTGTTCAGCCAGAAATTTGGGCGCTCGCTGGTCCATCTTTTTGCAACCATCTCCAACTCCAAGCAAAACAACCAATCACAGCTGTCACATCACAACTACCCGTGTTGCCCCTCCGAAATCAGACTGAAAAACATGCCAAAAAGAGGGAGAACACATACATGCATGCTTTTCTTGGGGAAAGTATAGGAGTAAAAATGCCCATTCGCGTTCTCACTATCCAGCCGCTTGTGGTCTCATTTGGAATAAACTTTCGTCTATTGGGCTTCCAACGTCTGCATCCATCTGGTTGACATCTGCACCCTCCAATGAGTGAATCACCTGCGATGCTTGCAGCAAATGTAGCACAAATAGTTGGAGGCCTGAACCTGAAAGATCCTTGTCCTTCACACTTCGCAACTCCACGCTGAATCACAAATACACCAATTTCTACTTCAATGGTCACCTCGCAAAAACATCCAAGACAGTTCTAGAGGTCCAACTACTCAAGCACACATGTCATTGAAATCCATTTAAATAGATGTTAAATGCTAATATTCTTAATCAGGATTGTTCATCATTGTTCATCCCAATTTTTCAGATCTTTCAATGTCTTCCATTCCACCCTCCATCAGTGCCTGGCTGGCGGACCAGGCAGTGGGACAGTGGATGGTGAGTGAGTCGAATAGCTTTTATTCATATGCCGACAGTAAAAGAAAGATGACTATCTATCAATGTATATGTGTGTATATAGGTATGTATATGTATATCGATTTAAAAAAACAAAAACATGCATCTGTATATATAATTATATATATATATATGTATATGTACGTATATTATATATATATATATATTTATATATATATATGAAAATGTATAGGTGTAAATAGTCTTATACAATTACATATAACTACATATGTAATCAAATGTAGATCGATGTAATTCATGATATGCAACTCTTCTATTTTTGAGGCTAGCTGAGTTCGGGCAGCTGTCAGCTTAAATCAACCATCCAAGGTTTGTCCGTTGGTGTTAACATCTGGGCACCAAATCCGTCTGACAGTCCAACGTGGAAGAACACCATTCTATCCGTATGACAATGCATCTGTGTAGCCTGTGAACTGTGCAAATTACTCGGACTCTCAAAGCATCATGGGATGAAGGCTGGCAGGCTAACAGGCTTTTTCTAAGTCTGAACTGTGCAGCTAATGCACTGAACTGGGTCTGGAGAGCAATTTTCTGTCCTCTCTGTACACCTCAATCCCAAAAGGTAGAAGCTTGTCTTGCAGGTTCCTCTCAATCATGTCTGGATATGGGTCAAAAAATCGGCCCTCTTAAATGTATTGGTCACTTTTCGCAGTAACCTGCCCATGTTTGGGGTAATTAACACATATTCGCAAGAACTTGTGTGGCTTCCATGGGGTTGCAAGGACCAGACTCATGTCATATGAAAAATGGTGAACATATCTCAAGCTGCTGATTTCTCCAGTATCTTGTTACCTCTCCAGCCTTTGGGGCGGTGTGAAACGGATCTCAGGCATTACTGAGGGCTGTGGACATCAGGCCTCAGAACCAGAAAAATCCGGGAGAACAGGGGATAGACTTCAGAGTTGGGCAAAAAAAGGCGAACTTCAGTGGTTTCAACTCATCAATAGATGGGTCAATTTGGATCTTAACAGGACAACAGCAAGTATCAAACAAAACATCCATCGGTCAACTCTGAATGGGTTCCTGGCATCTCCCAACTTACCCAAGTTTAGAAGGCAGGTCAATAATATAACATTATGTCCACAAGAAATGCCCAGTAACTCATGAACTCCCTTAGATGGCAACTCGACAGTCTTATGATGTAGCCATATGGGGGGTTCCTACGTCATGACTGTTCCCCTGAATCATCCATTTTAATAGGATGTTCCATCAAATAAACCATCCAGCTATTGGGGTACCCCCGAGACTATGGAAACCCCATATGTGAATAGGGATTGAACATCAAGGACTTGTTGGGTTGGATCCTTGAGCAATTTGCCGAGGCAGCATCCTGAAGTCCAAGCTACGAGCAAGATCGCTTGTGTCAGAAAAACAACTATGGTTTGCATGTATGTTTCGATGGCAAATCATTATGTATGATACATATATATATATATAATGTGTAGATATACATACATAGAGGTATATATATACATGAAAATATCTGAAATCACCTAAATCACCTGCAATCGGTCTATGTTCAATGAGCACAATGGGTGGAACAAACCCTCACCCTTGAAAACAACTCCAGGTGACGGTAGCAAAGTGCAAGTCGTCCTCCACCGACTGAGCAGAAAATGATGCTTCTGCGGGATTGCCTACATTTTCATAAAATGAAATAAACCCCACCATTTGCCAAGGAAAGTTGTGCAACATTGTAACATTCTTACAGGCCTCAAGTGTTCGTCTCATGGTCTCCTACCATTTTTTTGGCTATGCCAGTCCGTGCTCACATAAAGGAAAAGGTCCCGTGTTTTGTTTGATTAAATCCCCAAATTGAAAAAAAAACAACTGGTTGCCGGTTAGGTACCCTTTTTGCATTGATCAAACCCCAGTGTTGTTTGTTAACTCACGTTTTTCTGACTCAATCACGATGTCTTGTCGTTTCATCTCAGTATTCTTAGGTGATTCAATCTTTCTGTTTGGCTGAAGCATTGAATGGGGGATTTATCCTGTAACATTGGGATCAGTTCTTCCCCACAGAAACATGCGTTATTGATGAAAGTCTAAAAATGTTGGACTAATCCGTAATGGGTCACGGAGATGAGATGAAAATTCAACCCAGCTTGCGCTTCATGTGTTAATCCCATGTCATATGAATCCCATAATATCACCATCATATCACAATTTTAATTGATTAAATCCGCTTAAATCCCATCCCCATTGGTGAAATCCAATCAATCTTCAACCACTTTTCCACATGTTTAGTGATGAAATCCCTAGTACTCTTCGTGAAATTCCATGAATTTCCATGAAATCCTAATTTTTATGGGTAGAAATCCCCAATGTTCAGTTGAAGTCCCCCACAGAACCGTTTGGACTCCAAAATTACCCCGAGGCCGCGAGGCCTCATCAGCCACTCGCAGGTCCAACTGCCCTGTTCCCAAGATTTCGCCCGTGGCGAGTTCCACCTGAGCGGGTGATTTCTATCGTGGTCACAAAACATAGAAAGAATCTTGGTAAATTATGGTAAAATTATGGTAAATTATGGTAAAATTATGGTAAATTATGGTAAATTATGGTAAATTATGGTAAACTAACTTGGTAAATTATGGTAAACTAACATAGCTATTGAAAATTATAAAAATTGTGATTTTTCATAGTTATGTTAGTTTACCAGAGGGTAAAGTAGGTCACAAAACATATCTGGTTTGTGGTTTCAACCCCTCTGAAACTATGGTTTATAGGTGATATATCTATCATGCAATAACTATGGTTTGTAGGTGATATATCTATAGCTGGTGGGTGGTTTTAACCATCTTGAAAAATATGAAAGTCAGTTGGGATTATTATTCCCATATATTATGGAAAATAAAAAATGTTCCAAACCACCAATCAGATATAAAGAATCTTGGTAAATTATGGTAACTTACAAACATGGACTAACCTTAAACAGGGCCAATGATTGTGATTTCCTCGAAACCTAACTATCATTCCAGGCTTCGGTCAGTGTCGTTGTAATTCACCCATATTATGATATCTATGGATTATGCATCATAATAATGGATAATTCCATCAGGCTTCTTGATTCCTAAATATGGATATGGCCTGGATGATTGTTGTTTATATCATTTATGGATAGCTATCATGTGTGTGGATAAAAGATACATGGATAATTATGATGTACTATTTCTGGATATTGAGAATCCACCTGGATTTTTGTTGATGATTATCCACCTGGATGTGTATCATCTTTTTCCGTATTACATTGGGAAATACCCTATTTTCAGATACACCCATGTATTATTCATATGGATGATGATGATGATGATGATGATGATTAGCACAGCACAAGTAGTATTATCGGTAAAATGTGGAAGGTAATACTGACTCATGATGATTATGATGATCATCACCACTACCATCACCATCATCATCATCACCATCACATATCATCATTGCTAAATATTCTTCCTATTACCATGACTATTATTACCATAGCGATTCCTATTTCTACCCATGACCACTGCCAACCGCGGCACCTTGCTGCCAGGCTTGAATGCTGGAAGCCCTCGGTATGGGCAAGTCCTCAGTCCAAACAACGGAGCAACCTCTGGGGATCATCATCCCAGGAATGATGCAAGGGGGGGTTCCCAAAATTTCCACTATGAACCATCCAGCTATTGGGGTAAGCCCATTTTAGGAAACCCCCATATATAGTATACTATATACATATGTATATGTATACGCATACACATACACATACACATATACATATACATATGTATATTATCGATATATATATATATTATACATATATATATATATATTATACATATGTATATATATATACACATTCACATTATATAATTAGATATATATATATATAAATATATACATATATAAATATATATATATCAATTTATATTAATATAAATGGCCATCATTTATTAATCTATGCTCCGCAGGCAGAAATTTCTTAGGTCAACCTGCGTCACTTCCTGAGGCATCGGCTCGCATCTGAAGGCATCACCCAGGTAGCAACTGGCCACCGAGTCGTCCCGCTACATGAATAGAGGTGTCGTCATCATGTCTATGTTCATTGGATTGGTTTAAGGGAAAATCTACAGGAAACCATGGTTTTTACCGTAAAATATGGGGGTGTCCCGGTGTCCTGTTAATTTTCCCTTAAACCAATCCAATGATATGTATAGTACGGGACATTTAAAACTAGATGTCATATGTCTTATTGGGTGTTATGGTTGTATAATGATGTATATAGAAGGAGTTGGCGACACGCTTCTATATTTAGATGTGTGTGTGTGTGTTGAATACTGTCCAATAATGTCCAATATAGGTAATGAATGGGAATGTACGTTCGAGAATGACAGAACCGGTGTACAAAATACTCCCCAGCGGCACCTGCCGCAAGAAGATCTCTCCTTACCTGCCAACGCGGGATTTCCATAAAATGACATGACAAATTGAACCAAAACTAAAGATTTGTACAGCCCATGAGTAGCTACCAGTAGTGACTACCAGCCACTAAGCAAAACTATCGTCCCACCTTGCTCCAATCTCTGCTTTGCCTCCTCGGCGCCGAACTTGTCCTGATGCTCATTTGGGACCATCGTCCTTTAAATAAGCGGAAAAATATGTTTATGTTCAAAAATGAAACCGCCATGTCCTTCTGGAGAAAAATTATGACTCATAGATGTGGCTAGGAATCATTTGGATTTCAGTCAACCCACGAAAGCGGTTGTTTCTTACGTGCAAGGATGAATTTTGGGGGAGCAGAAACGTTGACCCATACCCACATGACACGTGTCCCTGTCACCACTTCCCCTGTATTGTGGTCCTGCCCTACCAAACCTTAGGGTCCAAAAAAAACTAAAAAAGGATTGTTTTGGATTACTGTACATTGGCCAGCAAAAACCACTGGATTTGGCAATTGTTTCAGTGCTGTTTCTGCATGTTTGGTTGGAAACAGCCTCCAATAAACTAACATAAACTAACATAGATCTGGAAGTTCACCATGTGTAGATCATTTCCACGCGGGAAACCCATGGATTTCGACCTAGCCAAGCTTGCTCCTCGAGTTCCTTCCGGCCGCAGCTACAGTTGGCACACGCCTGGCCCGATTGATGGTAGATTATCATTGGGCCTTATAGAAATGGTCGTTTTTGCGGTAGTTTCATCAGTTCTCAAGCAATACATCAAAACAGCAAAGATTTGAACTTTCAACCAGAAAAAATGATGAAACAATTGAATAAGTCATGTTGCTATACCAAAAGATCCAAGAGTTTCTGCTCTGTGCCAAACCATGTAAATCATTGTTGATCATCATTGGCATTTTGCATCATATTACGCGATATAACAATGAAAACATGTTCAGTTCCGATGCCAGCGTTCACGCCTTTATGCAGGTGGCTTACATCAGCCGTTGAGTTGAAAGATCTAAGCTCGCAGGAAGGAATCTATATTGCAGCTGAAAGAAGTTTGGTTTGATTGAAATCGGAAATCTATCCACCCCATCCACTGTCACTAAGTGCACTGTCTAAAAAGGAGGTCGGCCAACATCTCACATTTTCGGGGGTATGGCTGAGCTCTTCTAGTCATCCATTGGATTTATTAAAACTGTTTGGCTCCGCCTTTGGCTGGGAACTGCAGTCGCTCTTTCCTTTGCCCACAGGGGCTGGCACCTTTGGGCAACTGCGGAAAAATAAAGGGTCGGCCCTGAGCTGGATCATATGGGGGTTATGGGAAGCTATGGGATGGGTACCATTTATTGGGTATCAAATTGAATAATTGTGAATTTTGGAATAACTAAGCCTAAGCAACATAAATCAGATTTTGGTGTGTCATGCTGTGACTATGGGTTATCTAAGCACCACTTGTGGCCATTTTGAGAGGGAAAAAATGATACACCTGTGGATTTGGGGGGGATACCATGTTCTCAGACAAAACCATACTAGGTACCCCGAGTACCCCCAATAGCGGAGATCAAATTTGGATCTCTCTGGGGTTTACCTCATTTTCCGCGGTATAGAGAAGTATGTAACATATAGATATATCAGATACACATGGAAATTCAAATGTTGGTAAAGAGATATGGAAACATGGAGAGATGCACAAGAGCTCTGTCTCTCTCTCTCTCTCTCTTTCTCTTCTGTGAAGTTTGTGAACAATGTGAAATACCTGACTCACAACTTTACGCATTGTTTATAGTCCTTCAAAAATTATATCGATATGGGCCAAGTCTCAAAATGGAGTCCGCCAGACACAATTAATATGTGTCCATAATTCTTGACTTCCCAATGCTTTTGGCACACCACTTTTCACATGCAGACAAGCTTCTTCTCCCAACAACGCATCCTCATCGATGGTCATGATGTTAGCCGTTGGCGCCTCAGAGAAAGGAGCCGAGCCGCAGTTGGATTGATCATCTGAAGTCATGGTGGAAAATACATGAAAATACTGACAAAATCCTTCAAAAAGTATAGACATCATACATAAAAACACCATTTTATTAAATTTTATATGCCATTCTGGTTGGTTACCTCCCATTTTTTTCTGACACCTGAGTTGCAACCCCAGAATTTCCCATCCCAGATCCGTTCAGTCGCAAGCAGCGGCCCAAGTAGGTTTGGAACACTGAAAGTCCACCTGTCGGTGAGGGTGAAATCTTCGATGCAATCAGATATCAAATGGATTAATGATATAATATATATACATATACATATGCATATATATATATGTATATACATATTATATATGTTTGTGCGTGTGTGTGTGTGTGTTTGAAATCAACATATTCCACTATAGTATTATACATATGTACCATACTATGTGTAAGCGTAAATAACACTATATCATGTACCTGGTTGCACATCTGTGCGTACCATCGTTGTTGGTGGTAAATTGTCCCCGCAGACGTTCAGTACCTCGCCTCTATTAACGGTGTCTTCGAGCCGGAGACCTGCTGCAAATCGACCAAACGTGGAAAATCCCCGCACGACATAGAGGTTTGAGTGGAAAAACATTGGAAAAAAACACTTGTAAATCAAGGATTTTCCAGTGCAAGGTGTTGATTGCCAAAGGGAATCTGAGGTATTGATATCCTTCATTACTAGTTGGCGGTTTGTGAGTGGCTTCATAACTCAAAATATCACCACTCCAGACTATAGAAGCCTTCATTTTTCTTAGTCGCTACAGTAATCCCCATGTTCATATCTAAATGTAATGAAAATATCTGAAAATTGTTTTGATTTCTTATGGATCCCACTGTTCTTGGCGAAATCCCATCTCTCCAAACTCTCCAAGCATCCCTTTTCATCGCTTCCATCGTCGTGGCTCATTGCTTCTTTGAGCCTTGGGAGTGGGTTGATGGATCACCAGCCACCCAGATAAACCATGATAAACCACGATAAACCATGATAAATGCCCAGAATAAATATCAACAAATCTGATATATCCACATATATATATATATAATTATATATATATATCCCACTGAAACGCTGGATCGTTATCCGCTTCTTTCACCCATCATGAATATCCAGATGCCCAGATCAAGCCTCCACCGCTCACTCCGAGTCCCAGACAGCAGGCAGCCCCTGAACCGTGAGGCAGTCGGGAGAGATGTAACACATCCCCACCTGTGCCACATGGCTTTGTCTGAAAATTTAGGGGGAAAGAACAACCAGATTTGTTGCGTTAAAACTAGTTAAAACCTCATGAACTGCCGAGGGCATCCCCAAGTTTCAGACAAAGCCACATCAGGGAATTCAGGGCCGAGTCAGAGATCTTGATCATCCTTTGGGTATGCCTTAACAACTGGGACACTATTCGTTGGGGATCACAGCTGTCAGCCTGGGGGGCCATCTGGCTACCAAGTTTCAAACCGGACATGGGTCAAAAATATCTTACGGGAAATTGAAAAGATTGGTAGCGCTAGGTAACTGGGTCATATTCACCCCTACCCCAGGGGTCACATTCGCCCCTACCCCACTATCCTTTCCATTGAATGTGTCATTCAACCTTTTAGGGTTTGACCTGGGGACACGGGGCATTTAGGGGGGACTTGGGGGACATTTAGGGGGGACTTGGGGACATTTAGGGGGACATTGATTTGGGGGGGGAACTTGGGACATTGAATAAGTCACCATTTTGGTTAGATTACATCTTACTTACCACACCGCCACTCAAAAACAAGGGCAACCCCAGGCCAAAAATCAACGCCCTTAAAGCGTCTTGGAGTTGATTGAAATGGATGTTACAACGTAGCATCCAAAGCGTCTGGGAAGTTGATCGAAATGGATGTTACAACGAAACTTCCAGCGTCTTGGAGTTGCTTGAAATGGATTTTACAACGTAACACGTGAAAATGACTATCTGAGCTGGAAAAGATCCTTTCGAGGCTCTGAAACTATTGCGCCTGCCACACAAAAGCAGGGGTCACATTCGTCCCTACCTCCACTTTGAGTAGGGGCAAATGCGACCCCCGTGCCTGATATTGGTAGGGGGCTTGAGCCATCACCTCAAAATCATGGTGTCTGTAATTCAAACCCACCATTCATAGATAGCCTCCATTTAGTTGGGGATTTTGTAGCCAGCCAGGTTTGAACGACCAAACGCAGCGGGCTTTGGGAAACCCGTCCTTGTAGTCAGCATAGCCGCCCAAGCGATTCTGCCGAACGCCGCCCGCCGGCCTGTCTCGATGCGGAAACAAGGGGGAGGTTGATGGTGATACATCTAGCAACAAAGATAAAGATCTTGACCAGCAAGAATGGAGAATTGGAGAATGTGTGATAAATATTGATAAATGATACCAACAAACACCTCCAAATGCTCCAACCATGTATCACTATTTTAGTGGGGTGTTACATTTCTACCTTTTTGGCGGTGGATAATGGCAACAAAAAAATGAGGGGAAATCTTGACCATACTCAGTGAGCAACAAACACGGTCGCGGCTTTGAAAGATGATAGTGACAGGTGATCAATGGCCAATAGCTTTTTTGGTGACGGTGATGATAGAAATGACGATGACGAGGACAAGAGGAGGAGTGCGATGATGGTGACGATACTGGCGATGGCGGTGATGATGATGATGGTGATACTGCATTCATGATGGTGATGGCTGCACAGGAAAAAATACATTGTCATATCCCATTCCCATCCATTACCCAAGTCTTCCCAGTACAACAGGCTGGCCACACGGGTTGCGCTTGTGCCCAACTGATCGCTTTTGTTTGTACAGCCTCACGTGGCCGCGCAGGGCTTCCATTTGCAGTCTCCAAGTTGGCTGAAGAAATCGCCAAGCCCAAAAAAATCCTCCAAACTCGGGCTTCGTTCTCTGGTATAATTGAAAAACACTTGATTTTTGTTTGAAAGCACAAACCAATCCGACGCTCCAAGATTTGGAGTCATACCATCCTGAATTCCTCTGGGTCCAGCCGTCCAGCGTACGTAGATTGCTCCATGAAAAAAGAGGCTCTTGCAAAGCGTGAATTTGCTCACGGCACCATGTTGTGGCGCTGTCCCCACATGTTTTAAGAGCAACATGGTTTTTCAACATCGAACGTGCAGGTTTCAGGATTTTCCAGCTTGAGGAACAGCTCTTGATAGTCCCCAAGTAAAAAAAAAAAGTCAGTGCCTCACGAAACCTTTGTAGGAGTAGTACTCATCATAGTAGGCATGGGAGGGTTTCAGAATCACCTGGCCACGAGATCCAGAGGTCTGTGCTAGGCTGAGGCTGCTTAGTTGCAGAGTGAAAGCCGGATATCCCATCTTTGAATATCTTTGAAAGCTAAATCTATCGTCTATTGATTGTGATAAACTATGGTAAAACCCAAGAAGAAGAAGAAGAAGAAGAAGAAGAAGAAGAAGCATCATCATTCATAATGGTAATGATAAGCGTCATGATGATAGCAGTACAGTAATAAATGATACTGACACATACTACCAATATTTTTCCAAGTGGGTATGGGTACTGATTCCGAAAAAGTAAAACCGGGTATGGTCTGCTAGTCCATTGAGGTTTATCACATTGCGGGGAATGTTTGAGGACTGTTAGATTGCCAGGTCGTGTCAAGGTCGTGTCAAAACAGTATTCAGGTTAACCCCTGGGCTGTTAAATTCGGGTAGTCCATGTTTCTAGAAATGAAAAATGCCATTTCATGCTATTGATCGCTTTTGGAGGGTAACCGTAATCTATCATATAATCAATCAACCAGGTCACTTCTCCGAACGGCTCCCAGAACCAGCCCAGGCGTGGCACCAGGGGTTGACAGCTAACGGCGCCCCTCCAGCAAGCGGGAACAGAACGAGTTTTGCTTCTTGTGCGTGCCAAAACACGCCAAATATGTGTTCAAGTTCAATGCCAGTTTCATTTGAAAGGCATCACAAATTATAAAGGTTCTTTAACGGAGTGGTGACCTTGGATCATCTACGATGAACTTCTATTGCTTTCAGGCAAGAAAACTCTTTGGAATGGAACGAACAGCAGCTAAGATGCAACAAACTGCAACAGCACAACTCATTGAACACCTCTACAAGACTAACACATTCAGCCTGCGAAGCAGGATTCAGTGAAACCTCTGCCACTGCAGTCACTGGATGCAGGGGCTCCCCGCAACGTGACAGGTGGCTACGTGTGGTCACGGCCTCTTGTTTCATCAGGCCACTAATCGGTGTAGGACTTGGTGATAGACGGAGTCTTCTTCCGTTGAATTGGCCCTTGTCATTGTGAGAACCTCAAAATCCTCAAATGTTTGGCAACCCGCCAAGTCCATA